GGAATGTCTTAAGCCTACTCTTGAATGTGGTGAGGGTGTCTGCCTCCTGAACCACAACTGGAAGCTGGTTCCACAGGAGAGGAGCTTGGTAATACCATGTCCTGTCAAGCTACCTAGCACTAGCACTAGCTAGTAAATGGTTTGTACTTGTATACTGCCTTTCTAGTCTCCCGACCACTCAAAGCACTTTACGCTACATTCACACACGTTCATACAGGGATGACAAAGGCCACAAATGGAAACTTCATACACATTTGCGCACCAGTAACTTACTGCTAACCTTTTTACTCTGCTCTGCTTGCATTCACTGTCACTTTTCTGCCTCCCTCTATCTTACTCGCTCTCTGACTCGCTACACACGGTATGTGTACAAGCTTTGTTTGACTGCTGTAAAAAAACAGGAGTGTCAGAGTGCAGATTCACTCTGACCACCGTCATCTGCAGGGTTTCTAGTTCCCCCTCACCATCCGAGTTCAGTGTGCTGTGACAGAATAGAGTGATTCTGTTGGTACTACAGCCACAGCTTTTGTCAACAGAAACACAATAATAACTGTTCTCATGTGACAAACCGAACTGAACTGGACTGCATGGTGGAAACAGGGCTTTAGAGGGATAGATACACACCCCTAGCTTTAGATACTCACATAGCACATCAACCTGATCATAAATGAACCGATGGAAATGCCACGTCATTACTGATAAGCTTGACTTAATCTCAGATAGTTTTACACTTTGCTGCTTGATGACCCAGCCTGCCTGTGTACCTTCAGGGCTGGTGGCGGTGTTACACCTACAACTCAAACAGTGAGCTATACAGAGACAGACACAGAGAGCCAGGCAGGAATTAACCACTTTGTTGCATGCCAGCAAAGTGACAACGGGAGAAAATAAGAGTGAAATTGGAGCTGACTATGTAAATTACTTTATATGCTTGACAAGAAACATGCCAGCAAGCTTCAGGCTCATGAGATTCTGTGTGCGTGTGTGTATAAGCAGGTGGTTATTAGTCGAAAGTCTTACCAAATTTAGTGCAAATTCCAACCAGATTTCCAGATAACTTGCAAAAGAATATGCAGATTAATGAGTGTTTCCTTCCATTACTGTTTTGCAAATATTAGTTCATTGGCTGATGGAGATTAACGGCGTTACAGAAGAAGAGGACACAATCAGATAATGTCATCCGAAGAACTCCAGTCAAAGCTGAAATAGTGAAGCATATGGAAAACATGATGGAAATCCAACATTTCTGTTAGTTTTATGTATTAATGCGAGGGAGGTTCCAGCTCTACACTGGAAGCTTCAGTGATGTGTATATCCTGTAACATAGCAGTTACAGGATATCGCCTTGGACAAACAGCACGCGTGAGCAGTGTTTGACAGCTGCCTCACAAACTGCTGCGGCTAGCACGTCTGTAGTGTCCACACAGAGAGCATTTCTGCTGTGAAGCTGCTGCTGCTGCCAGCCCTGCCTTTCACTACTGAGTCTGCCTCCAATAAATACAGTAAAGACTTATTAACATATGACTGGATTCTGTCCACAGAAACAGTAGAGAGCTTTTATCTGAAACAGATACAGGAGGTGTTGAGTTAACAAAACATATATATATATATATATATATATATATATATATATATATATATATATTTCATGTTGGTGACATATTATACATTGAAACTGTATTAAAAGGTGTATATGTTGCTTGTATAATGCCAATATGGCTATGAACAGATCCTTTTTATGTTCTAATTTTTGCTGGGAAAAAATAGGCAAGATCATGAGTCTCTAGTGAAGTGTTGCTGCAGCTGCACCTGAGATGCAGGGCTCACACAGTGTGGCTGCTCTAACCTGTTAACATGGGTACCAAAATAAAAAGCAAGACGTTCTGCCACACACAGACACATGGCAGTGTGACCAAGGCTTAAATCACATGCTTTTGCTATGCAATGAAGTCTATATCTGTTGCACTGAATTTATTTTTATTTTGTCTTTACTTTTTTGCAATACATCACCTTGTTTTGTTTAATGCATGGATTACACATATACAGGCGGATGGAAACACACTAATTGTGCCCAGGCTGATGCTGTACCCTCTGGTCACACAATAGTTTGTCTCCCTCAGGAAACAGATGCATCATATAACTTCCAGGAACAAAGAATTATTCATGAAAAAAAATTCTTGTTTTCTGTGAGGAAAATAATGAGGTATTTGAAGAGGGTGTTATTGTCCTCAGACTCTAGTAAAGTGCTAGCAATGCATTAAAAACCATTCCTGTGATGTCACCTACTCAGATATTAATGAAATAATATTTGCAGTGGTGTCCTCCATGTCGAGCCTTACTGCCTGAACTGAGGAAAGCTTCCATCCAGTTGGCTGGGCAGATGAAGTTTGGTACTCTGGACTGTACCATCCACCACAACCTCTGCTCTATGGTAAGCATACACATATTTGGAATGTACCATTCATCATGAGCTAGAGATGGGTACATGCTACACAGACAGGTTGATAATTTGTCTCTCTCTGTGTTTCTAAGTATAATATTCAGGCGTATCCCACCACAGTAATCTTTAATGGGTCGTCTGTTCATGAATATGAAGGACAACATTCGGCTGATGGCATCCTGGAGTTCATACAGGTACTACTACATACCAGTTAATGCACACTGCTCCTGTTGCTTATGCTAGCAGGGAGTGATTCTCAGTGTCCTGTTAAATCCAGAAATGTGCACGTTTCCTGGGCAACGAACACAGCTTATAAAAAAGAAAACACCTGCACATAGCTGGCACCTTCCCAAAAACTGTTTCCAATAAAAAGGGTTGCATCAACACCCAGTGATGGACATCTTTGGCTGAAATAGATTGTTTCTGTCTCTGCAGGATCTGGTCAATCCATCTGTGGTGGTCCTGGATCCTTCCAGCTTTGCTGAGAGAGTTAAAGGTAAGTGTAGTTCTAACAGATTCACTGGGTTGCACAAAACTATCTACATGATGCCTGCAGGGTCTTTTAAAAGTTTGAAATCCAATAATCTGAATTGTATGCCATTTATGGTCTTAAACATTGATTGGATTAAATATGTTAACATTACTTGTATGAAGTTTCATCTTTTAAATGTGTTTTTGGGAAAAAAATGTATTAATCATGCTGTGACAACTACAAAACCAAACCAATATGGCCAAATACCAATAATACTGCAGAAACCCTGGTCTAGTGAGCAAACAGCTTTTTTCTCTAGTAGGACTAATTTTGGTCAAACTAAAAGTCTTCTCTAAATTATAATTTGTTTTATTGAGCAAGCACATCAAGCTGCTCACTTCAGCAGTAAACATACAGTATGTATTCTGGAGGAACTTAAAGATACAGTGTGAAGGATTTTACTGCCACCTAGAGGGGAAGTTGCAGATTGCAACTAACAATACCACTCGCCTTCCAAGTGGGTAAGAGAACTACTATGACTGTAGAACCCATGAAAAACACAAAGGGCTCTATCTACATTGGTTTTGCTGAGTATAGGAGCAAAACTAAGACCGGAGCTATGGACTCAATAGACCAACAGTAGTGCTGTTAATAGTTAGTTTACAGATTCTCTTTTCCTCCTGTTGTGTTGGTTGCAGGTCGAGCAGACATTCAGATCTGGGCGGTGGATTTCTACGCTCCATGGTGTGGTCCCTGTCAGGCTCTGATCCCAGAGTGGAGACGCATGGCCAGGGTACAACACACTTCTTCCTTCCCTCCCAAGCTTAGGGACAATTCACAATTGCAGGAAGACTAAAAGGAGTGAAATATAATATTTTTCAGGACTTAAATTTAATAAATAATTCAACACCTGCACCACCTATTTAATAATCGAGGTTATCCAGTAAAGCTATGAACTGTCATTGCCAAATGTTTCAACTAAACATAGTGCAGACATCCAGTTAAATGATCAGTTTCGGCTATCAGTTTTGTTACCAGCCTGATATCTGCAGGCAGCTCGCTAGTTAGCATTAGCTACCTGCTGTTACCCTGATTACAGAACTTGGTTACAGAAATCATCTGATCATAACAGAAACTAACTTTTTATGAAGACATAACAAAAACAAACCTTTTAAGTGTGTTTTTATTGGCATTTTATGTATTTTTTTAGAGAGTTCAAGAGTGGAGAGTTGACAGGAAATGAGGGGAGAATAGGAATGACATTCCACCAAAGGGTGTCTGAGTAGTTAGCAATGTCACCTCACATTAATAAGGTCTTCGCTTAGAATCCCAGCTTTCTGTGTGGAGTTTGCACGTTCTCCCCATGTCTGCATCAGTTTCCTCTGGGTGCTCTGGTTTACCCCACCATGGGGAAAGTATGTAGGTTAATAATACAGTGCCCTTGACCAAGGTACTGGCTTAGAACTGGTGTTGGTCCACACCTCTACACTGAGGATGGGTTAATGCAGAGACCAGTATCCTCGCGGGATCAATAAAGGATAACTTAACTTGATAAAAGTCCCCTGTCAGACTTGAACAAACCTTGGCCATAAATGTTGCCTTTCATGGTCAGGACCATAAACCTTCAAAAAATTCTGGTGGGCAAACTGTGTAATGGTTTCTAAAAAGTTTCTAGACTAGTTTCTACAAATTTTTCTGGATTACCTCAATATATCTTTGACATTTCTGACACTTATTGTTGACGTATGGGTTAGGGTTAGTGACACCGATATAAAATATACGTGCATAAATAGCCCAACATATATACATTGTGATTTGCACATTAGATAAACCAAACAACCCTTCCATGAATTTATTGCACTACAAAGAGGAGCCAACACATGGTATCAGCAGTGTTCACTCATTTACAGAAGGTTCAGTTAGTTACCACTGCAATTGATCAACATCACACACAGTCTAACCTGCATGTCACTTTCTTCCTGTCTCTCACCATCCAGCTGCTGTCAGGTCAGATCCTGGTTGGTTCTGTTGACTGTCAGCGGTTTCAGTCCTTCTGTCAGAGTCAGAATGTGAGGGCATACCCTGAAATCCGCCTGTACTCCGGCAATGCCCGGCAGCCAGAACGCTACACGTATGTACCACACTTTAAATTACCCATTCTGTTTAAGTGAGTTTTCCTTTCAGGTGGCTATAATTCATAATTTTCAATTCAATTTCAATTCAATTTTATTTGTATAGAGCCAATTCATAACAGAAGTTATCTCAGGACACTTTTCAAATAGAGCAGGTCTAGACCGAACTCTTTAAAACATTAATTACAGAGACCCAACAGTACCACCATGAGCAAGCACTTGGCGACAAGGGCAAGGAAAAACTGCCTGTTAAAAGGCAGAAACCTAGGACAGATCCTCCGGCTCTACGTGGGTGGTCGTCTGTCTCGACCAGTTGGGGTGAATTTTATGTTCTTATTTTGTGTGTGAGAAAAGGATGAACCTACAGAGAATTATCACCCATGCAACTCCCCTCGGCTTTATAGAGCGTTGTTTTTTGCCTGCAGCGGGCAGCTGGAAGATGTGGGGTTTTTTTGTAATAAATACAGAGCTAGCTGGCTACAAGAAGCACCCAGCCCCTGCTGTGAGTGGTTCTTGGTTCTAGACAAGCAAAATGTTAGAACTGCTGGAACCAGTTTTCCTGGTAAAGAGCAGGTTCTTTGGCTGTAGAAATGCCAAGAACTGGTTCCAGATTAGGCAACGGGTCCAAACCAGCCCTCAAAAAAACAGAACAGAATCAGGCTCATGTGCGACTTTATAAATCTGAAGAAAATAATGTGTATACATATTTCTGTCAGTTTTTAGTTGAGCTTTATGAATCTGGCCCAAGGTCTTTCTGGAAGGGAGTGGGTCTAAGTGTTTTCCCTCTCCAGTAAGCTTATTGATCCTGTTGGTCTGTGTGTCTGTCTCTTCAGGAGTTATAATGGTTGGCACAGAGATGCCCATTCACTGAGAGCATGGGCACTGAGGTGAGACACAAACTGTCTGTCTGTCTTTATTTATTTTCTCAGTTTTTCTGGTGCCAAAAGAATCAATTATTGAGTCAGTGTCTTGTGTGTACAGCTCTTTACCCAGAGCCTCGGTGGACCTGACCCCAGAGTCCTTTAGGTCTCAAGTTTTGTCAGGTCAGGATCACTGGGTTCTGGATTTTTACGCCCCTTGGTGTGGACCCTGTCAGCACTTCGCCCCAGAGTTTGAGGTCCTGGCTCGGGTGAGACACTTTTTACTTTTCCTAAATAAATCTTTCGTTCTGTGGTTCCTGTCAGTCACAGCCCAGTGGAGGCAGCAGACAAACTAAAGCCGACTCTTGACATGAAACACAAACATATTCTAAAAATGTAGTCGAGGCTCTCAAAAGGATGTCCTGTGTGATTGACAGATTCTCAAAGGGGAGGTTCGGGCAGGGAAAGTGGACTGTCAGGCTCATCATCAGACCTGTCAATCAGCCGGAATCACCGCCTACCCGACGGTCAGATTCTACCCGTACCTTGGGACAAGGAGGGTGAGGACACACACACAAAAGCAGCACTTTGATAGAAATAACCAGTCAAGACTTGAGCCTTTAGTCATCTTACCAGAACATGAGATGGACCAGGACATGATGGAACTTTTTAATACTCACATGCACTAACATGCCTGTGTGAGGCTGCAGTAGCAACACCGTTTCTGCTATATTAATGTTCTCATATATATAACCTTTAAGAAGCAGAAGGGATATTGACTTCCAGTGAGGTTAGACTTGTGGTCCTTCTAGTTATGATGCTGGGAGATGCTATTGCAATACAGTATTTAGCTTAAGGCATGTGCTTTGAGTGATGTTACAGAAATTGAAATTGGGTGCAGGAATGGCAGGCTCTGCCACTAAAAATGAGAGCTACTATATAGATTGGTAATTACTGACTGAGAATACATTGAATGGGTACAGTTTAAAAAGTGCTGACTATAACTAATATCAAAAGGAGCTATGAAAAGATTCTAACTTTGAAATGGTGTGAAAGAGTCAGTGGGCTGGATGGAACATGGTTCATGATCTAAAAGATATAGAATTGTGTTGTGTTACCAGCATGAACACAGCGGAGAACACATCAACAGCCGGGATGCTAACATGATTGCTGACATCATCAGACAGCGTCTAGACCAGCTGTCACCGCGGTTACACAGCAAACCGAAGGTAACTTGAGCTTCACCTCATATTGAAAGCAGCAAAATCAGAGTGTGAATCAGAGTGTGAATCAGAGTGTGAATCAGAGTGTGAATCAGAGTGTGAATCAGAGTGTGGATCAGAGTGTGGATCAGAGTGTGGACCAGAGTGTGGACCAGAGTGTGGACCAGAGTGTGGACCAGAGTGTGGACCAGGGTGTGGACCAGAGTGTGAATCAGGGTGTGGACCAGAGTGTGGACCAGAGTGTGAATCAGGGTGTGGACCAGAGTGTGGACCAGGGTGTGGACCAGAGTGTGGACCAGGGTGTGGACCAGAGTGTGGACCAGGGTGTGGACCAGGGTGTGGACCAGAGTGTGACGCCTGTCTTTTATCTCTGCAGGATGAGCTCTGATGACCTGGGGGTGGCGCCATTAAAGAGAGACCTGAGATCTGATCTGGTCAGGGAGAGGAACAGAAGTGGATTTGATTGGTCCAAAGATCATTTGGTCAACACTCCTTGATAAGACCACAGCTGTAACACGGAGACAGACAGACAGAGGGACACTGACCGTTACCTGCTGTGCTGAACACTTCTGCCTTGTTTTTATTTGTTTTTATTTTTGTCTCCATTGTTTGTATTTACTCTATGAAGTAAAACTGTGGGACGCTGCATACTGGACATGTTACTGATACATACATACATATACATACACACACACACACACACACACACACAGAGCCAGATGTTGACATAGTGTTGTTTTTTATTGTTCATGTAGAAACTGTTGGACCTTCAGAATAAAACGGTGTGTTTCTGTTTAAAGATTTTGTCACATTAGTGTTAACCCTTTACTGCAGTTTATTTATTAATTTTATACACTATTATACCTTCATTTACAAATTCTAGTTGATGTCAAATTCATAATGTCGATTAGGCCATTAGGTGTAGCTTCTCAAGTGGGAGGATTTTCAGTTCAGTTTTCTGTTCAATACCGTTAATACAATAATAACTCCGTTATTTTGGACAGTTAGACAAAACAAGAAATCTGATGATGCCACCTTTTACTTTGGGAAATTGTAATTGGCATTTTTCACTATTTTCTGACATTTTATTGAACAAACGATTAATGGAGAAAATATTTTTAGTCAATAACAAAAATAAATTGCATGTGTCAGTTACATTATCAGGAATGAATCTATCTTCTTTTCATTCATTGTGTGTGTGTGTGTGTGTGTGTGTGTGTGTGTGTGTGTGTGTGTGTGTGTGTGTGTGTGTGTGTGTGTGTATAAACTTTAATATGTGTTATATCCTCCCAATTAGAATGTGCTTTAGTGACTAAATTGAATTGACAAAAGTCTGAAATACTTTCTCTCAGTAACTTTAGTAATCAGTTTTTTTGTATCCAATCCAATCCAACTTTATTTGTTAAGCACTTTAAAAACAACCAAAGTTGACCAAAGTGCTGTACAGGAGAATAAATAGGACATCATAAATGTAAACAGTGATGATGATGATGAAGACCACTGTGAGGAATATAGACAGTGATGGCGACAACACTGGAAAGTTCCCGTGGCAGACAACACGGACGAAGTCCGACGGCGATGAGCTCGATGTCCGGGCTGCAGACGCTCTTTCACACAGACGTGCCCGGATGTATGTGAATGCATGCTGTCAGGACACCTAAACTAAAAGTTGTGACAGTGGATTGTACTGCAGGTTGCTGTTCTGTCCTTTTTTGTGGAGTTTGAGTCAGCAGTATGAGACCTGCAGCAGACACTTTGACTACTGCAGCTACAGTAGCTAGGAAGCTCATCCACTCAGAATGGGCTGGTGTCCATTTAAGCATTCATCCATTATATGCTGCTTATTTGGGTCTAATAATAATTTTCATATTGTTCCTGCTGGTTTAAAGTATTAAATGGAACTTTGTGGACAGGGTTTCTGCAGGGTTCACAAACAGCAACACTGTGTAATTATTGATTAGTTATTGGTTGTAAGTTGTCAGGTGAGATTTTTTTTATAATGATCACTTATAGTACATGATTTTTTTTTACTAAGAAAAGTAGTATTAGCAGTTACTTTCTAGTTTTGTCTATCTTTTCTTGAACTGTTTCCACTTTGACCAGCAGGTGTCACTGTTTAAACTTTTAGTCCAGTGGTGCCCAATCTTTTTCCTTAAGGGAGCCATTTTCTATCACTGAGTAAACTGACTAAGTGACATATTTTATGGATATTTCATTTTATATTCAATGCATAACAATAACAGCAGAGAACAACTGATAAAATGTACATGAACCCAAACAGTGAAAGCAATAACTGCAGGAAGTTTATGTAAAAGCAGAGATTTGGATGAAGTTTGCGTAGATTATTTCCTGTGAAAATTGGTCAGAGAGGAGTTTTTTTTTATACAATTCTCTGTCTGTATTATGTATTTATTGTATCATACATACATAATAGGCTTCTTTTCCCTCTTTCCCTAAACATGGGTAAATGTGCATACTGTACATGATGGATCAAAATTAGTTTATTTTACTGATAATCAATGTGTTATATGGGGTCTATGATGTGATAGAAAATGTATCTGTTACATGTAATGTAAACCGTTACTGTAAAAAACAGAAAGTAAAGATTTGTGCACTGCTTCTGTGTTGATTTTGTTTGTTGGTTGGGATTTCACATTTATACAAAAGTTTAAATGGGATTAATCAAAATAAATTATAATGTAATGTAATGTAATAAAGTACAAAAAACCCAAACAAGCAAACAAACAAATCAAAAACTGAAACAATGTTGGTACAGAGCCTTCTCTCGTCTGTAGCATTCTAATGGTCTGTAGTGGTTGTGTTTCCCAGTTGAACCAGCAGGTGACACTGCTCCTCTACTGTTCAGTCTGGGAAAGGGTTCAGCACGAAACACCATAACAGTCAGAATGCACACTGATACAGGAGTGAGTTTCAGCACAGTACTGACAACATTTAAATATGGAAATCCGTACAGAGGTTGTTGTCCTGCTGACTCGAAAAAGTTCAAAACAGAAACAGGCTAACAGAATTTCTAAAACAAAAGATGTGTGCATACAGTTTGAACAGTCTAAAACTAATCTGTTTGCTTATTTGTTGTATTTCTTTTCATGTTCAGCACTGGTCCAGACTGAGGATTGTGAGTTTGTGTGAGGAAGGATCATGTTTGTATTTGTTTACAGGG